CCCAGGAACCTTGGACATCATGTTAACACGGATTCTTATGGTGAGGGAGGTACACGAAGAACTTGCCAAAGTCAAATCAGAGGACTCTGACATTGAGTTATCAGACTAACTGAAGTGGGGTATTTTCCTTTGAATACACACCAGAAGCACCAAAATGTGAATACGTCCAGCCTTTGGAAAACGTGTATCAAATAGGCCGAGAAAATGTCACCTACAGGCAGATTTTGTACCACAGTGGATGTACAAACTGGAACTGGAAGGAAGCAAGCTGTGTAAGCTGCAAAACCCAACGTCCTGTGGCACCGAGCAACCCTCGGGACAAATCCAAGTGGAACTCACCTATTGGAGCGGTGCATAAATCCTTTACCTGTTTAGGATTTTTTAAAAGTCGTGAGATGTTTTTAAGGCAAATGGTTGTGTAAAATCTCCCCTCACGCTGTTGGGCACGGAGAGCGTGGCTCAGGTGACTCCCTAGCCTGCTGGCTGGCAGTCCTTGCTGCCAAAGAACACGAGGATCTTCCCAAGGACCCGAGAGAAAGGGGTGAGGTTTAGACAAGCAGACACCTTCCGTTATAAATACACCTACACATACACTTCTACGATTTTTTTTTTTTTTTGGAATCTGGGATCAAGTGTTGTTAGGAAGGCAGGAGCCGCTGGCCATCCCCATGGACAGCTCTGGCTGCTAGGGGATGGCCACACGAGGCCAGACTGTGGCTCTCACTCCGGTCTCTGTGCTGGAAGAGGTGCTGGAGGTCAGACGGTGTGGGGATGTACAGCAGGTGGTCCTGGGCTCTGTGCAGTCCCTTCCCCAGCCCCGCAGTCTGTCCACAGAGTCCAGCCAGGACTGTGGTGCACAGAAAGGTTTTTTCCCTTAAGGCAGCTTTCCTTTCTCCTCTTTCCCTCCTCCTGCTGTTTGGGTTGTTTTGTGAGGCGAATCTGGAGAGGGCTTTGTCGTTTCAAACAGAAATACACACACACACATTCTTTCTCTTTCCACCTTTGCAACATGGGCAGTGTTGTACAAAGGATGCAGTATTACTTCTGACACCGGAACTGTGGTAGAAAATAACCATGTGTGTTTTTTTTTTCCCACCCCACCCAAAGAGATTTAGTCATAGTGTTGGAAATTGAGAGAGATTACTTTAAGGCTTGGCTGTTACTGAGTCTTTTGGAAGAGAGAAGCTCCCACGTGGTGTTTTGAGGACAGGACATTATCAGATACTCTCTGTAGCTCTGTTTTCTCAAACTCTAGATGTGTGTTTCTGATGAGCAGCTGTCACAAATTCATTGGAAACCCAAACTATTTTTAAAGAAGAGAATTGTATGGTTTTTACCTAGCTCTGGTCAGTTATCCATCTTCTGTAACAGGGGTCTGATATTTGAGCTTGTCACTAAAATTTCAAGAGAAAAAAATCAACAGCCTTGAAATATATTTCCTTTTTTTGTTTTGTTTTGTTTTGGTTGGTTGGGTTTTTTTGGTTTTTTTTTTTAATTATTTTTTTAGCAGTTACGAAAGTAATTTAACAAAAATAAAATCAGAAAGTAGTCTGTTGACGTTGTGTACTCGGTAGTCCTGTCCCTGCCTGTAACAGATTTCACTGATGTATTTTTTAATACAGAAAATTATGTGAAAAGTAAAACCTGCCCCTGATTCTGTCTGATCAAAGCCCACCCGTGTCTGTCATTTCTGAGCAAAGATTCTGCTTTCTCCCTGGCCTGACCTTCCCAGGGGAGATGTTTCGGCCGTGCCCCGGCACCCAGGGATGCTCCTGTGGGCTCAGTCCTTGTCCATCAGCACTGACCTGGCCCTCCCCGTAGCTCCAGTGAAATAGCAGGCACAGAGCTTTGGGTTGGGATGGTGGATAGAACATCCCAGGGGCAGCAAAGTCGTTCTGTAGGGCGGTAAAGGTCCGAGGGTATCCGTAGGAGAGGGGGAACCTCCAGGAATTCCTGTTTCCTGGGCATCCCCTCCACAAGTGCAGCTGCTGGGGGCTGCAGCAAACTGCCCCTGGCTGCTCCCTGCCTCCCTGACCCCTGGAATGAGCAGGGGAGCGCTGAGGACACAGGCTGTGGGGAGGGCAGGCTTTCCTTGGGTGGGGATGGTCTGAAAAACAGTCCCACAACTGAGTGTTCCCCTAAGAGGCATTAACAGAAATATTCCCATAGAATAACGTAGGATATTTGTACCTCACGAGTAAAAACCCTCTTTTCTTCCTCTGCAGACCCTCACTGTTTCTCGTCCGGGAACACTTTCATTTAGGTTCATTTTTTTTTCCGGGTACTGTGAATGAAAACTGTTTGCCTTTCAGATTCTCTCAGCAGGGAAACGAAACCGAAGTTGTTTAACATTGTGTAAACTCCTTTTACCTGGTGGCCCTGAGATAAGGAACGTTTCAGTGCAGTTCTGTGGTAATAATTAACACAAGTACTTTCACTGCTGCTTGGAGACCCTTTGGCAATGGTCAGCCTTGTCCGGGGTCTGCTTGGGCTTTTTTTTGCCTCCTGAGGGATTTCTTGTCAGCCCAGCTCGAATTCACACTGATTCACAAGAAGGATGATTACCTCGAAGGATTAAAATATGTCTGTAGATCATACACACAGGCTCAAAGTTCTGATCACAAACTTATTTATAATCAACATTTCTCACTCAGTCGCCGAGTGCCCAACACAGTCCACTGAATTTAAGGAAAAAAATGCTGTAGTCTCAGTGTGGACAGAGAAGAAGCAAAGATGGGTGTGAGAAGGAAATAACCAAGAACTCCCTGCCCTCAGGTCCCACTGTGGGAGGTGCTCTGACAAACCTGCACCTCCAGCCTGGCCTTGGTTCCCTAAAGCAGGAAACGGGGGGCGCGCTGAGAGCCACAGAACTGGGTGCAAAAGGGAGTGAAATTGTCTTGGGAATTATTCTGCCAACTGCTGCTCTAAAAGATGCCCTTGGGTTTCTCTGGAATAGTCTCCAGCTCCTGGGAGACTTTAAAACACAGCAAAGTCCCCCCTGCCACGTGTGCCGGGTGTACTCTGCAGCAGGAGCTCCAGCGGGGCCGCTGTCACAGAGGTGACCCTGGCTGTGCAATAAAGCCCTCGGTTTTTTGATAACAGGAACTCTCCTCAGTCCCCTGAGCAGTAGTTTCGCTGTTGCCTTAACAAGCAAACCTGAACAAATGCTGGTGTATCGATGCTCTTGGAGCTCGTAACCACTGGGCGGGGTTGGAGATTGGCTCCCCTGGGCAACAACCAGGTTCCTCCCCAGTTTTTCTTCAATGTATCATCCATTTTAAACATTCCAGAGGCAATGTTAAGAGTTTCTGTCTTTGTAACAAAGAGCTGCTCCCTGGCAGAACGAGCCCTGAGCATCATCAGCCTTGTAATGGTTGAATGGTTTGGCACATGATTGTGTTTGTTACCAAGTTGACTCCAGTCATTTTCTTTAGGTGGATTTTTTAAACTAAGGAAGAAATTCTTGAGTCTGACCACTGGCACAAACAGTCCCTCTAACTTCATCCCATGGCACCTGGCTGAGCTGGGAGAACTTGCCTTTTTATCTTCAGTTTCACCCCCCCAAACTCCCAAGACACTTTCCAGAATGTTTCTACTGTGTTGTGCTTTCTGAGGGAACAATTTTGGACATCCCAGGAAGAGCAAGTGTGGCAGAGCAGCCATTGCAAGGTGCTGGGAAGGTGCTTTGGGCAGGCAGGTAATTGATGGTACGTGGCAAAAAACTAATATAAATATTGAAGTTTTATATTCAAAACATCTCGCCCTGGGGGTCCTTGGTGCTCAGCCACTGGCACCGGTGCTGGCTCTGCTCCAGGGTGTGTTGCACAGTTGTAGAAGGGTTTTTAAAGTCATAAAGGCTCAAAGGAACTCCAGCAGCTTGGATTCTCCTAACCACAGAACTCAAATGTCCCTTGGACATCACATTCCCTAAGCTGATGGATTTTCAGCAGAGATTCGGCTTTTATTAAAGAAACAAAACCTGAGATACCTGACTCACCTGCCAGGAGGGAAAAGGGAATTTAGGGCAACGAAACAGTGAAGTTAGACAGAACATCACACCCCAAATCTCAAACTGCATCCCAAGGGCACGATTTTAGTCCTGGCAGATCCATGTGGATGTGAGTGGCACGAGTCACCCTGGCTTGGTTAACTCTTGGTTCTTAGTCAATGAAGGGGCTTGGGCCTGCGAGTCCTGGACTTTTTATCCTCTCTCCTACATATTTGCAACACAAAAAGCCAGAACTAGTTGAAAAGGTCTTTTTGACCTGCTGGGAGCCAGGCAGCTGCTTTGGAGAGAAGGATGAGGGGTGATGGCCCCTGACCTTCCTCCCCGGTTAAACCACCCACCCATCACCCAGCCCAGGCTCCAGCATCCACTTCCCTGTGGGATTTACTACTGTTGGATCAATGATGCCTCATGTCTCGTCCCTTCCAATCTGTACCTGGGTTGTACCCTCTGTAAATTGGCCAGGCTTTCCTACCTCGTTTTGGGCATTATGAGGCAGAATTCCATAGGATGCTTTGCAGCCCCGTGATGAAAGGTGCTATATAACTGCAAAGTGTTACTTCAAAAGATGTAACTAGGTCACCAGTGCATCACAACCTATATTAAAAAGACTTTTTCTTATATGAGAATTTATAGAGTTCAATGTATGGTAATAATAAGTGAATTATTGAGACCCCCAAAATAGTTTTTGTTTCAGTTGTATCTGTACTCTGGAAAAGTGATTAAAAACCTTTAACCTCACTGGAAGAGTGCATCCTCCTTTTCTGTATGACGTTGGAATCTAAGTTTAAAAGCAGGATCTCACAGGGTTCAGGTGGGGAGGGCTGAGTTGGTTTTTAATCCCACCTGGCGTTCCAGCAGCACAGACCTTCCCCAGCCCCAGGGCAGGGGAACTGCTGCTCCAGGTCAGTCCTGGGGACAAAACGTCACCTGTGCTCTGTCACCCTCAAGTGGCACCATCACCCAAGAGCCCCAGTAACGCAGAAACACCATCTCTGCTGCAGGCAAAGCACCTTTATTGACTTCAGGGCACTCACTGCTCAAGGGAATCCAAAGCTTTTGAGAGGGTGGGGTCTGTGGGGGCTTCCCAGCACCTGCCACGCTGCCTGGCAACAACTCGGGATCATCATCAGTTGCTGCCTCCTTGGGTTTGTCCCCTGGAGTTACCTTCTCTTGGGTTTGTCATTTGGAGTCTTCTTGCCCTTGCAGGGCAGCGAGGCACCAGCTGCTGCCCCAAGTGACCCCAGGCCAGTCGTCAGCCCAATTTTGGCAGCAAGAGAGAAGCCCGCAGCTCCTGCCAAGACAGATGGACGAGTGATGTGCCAGCAGCGTGGAGGCTGCCTGCTGAGGGACCGGCCACTGGGAGCCGTTCCGAGCCGTGGCGGCTCCAAGGGCCGGTTTGGCCCCACAGCAAGCCCAGGGTATAAGCCCGTGTTCCTGAGGGCACGAGCCCAGTGCAGCCCAGTGCCCTGCCCTCCCCACTCACCGATGGACTGCAGCACGGCCACGGTGCTGCCGGCTGCCACTCCGCCGCCGTTGGCGATGGCAGCTGCCGACATCATCTTGGCAGCGATGGATCCAGCGGCGATGCCACCTGCGGTGAACCCCAGCCCAGCAATGCACGCCGGGATGGCAACAAGTGCCACTCCTGCAGGGAGGACAGCACGGTGTGAGGGTGCTCTCTGTGACCCACACCTCCCCCTGCCACCAGCGCGGCCCCCACAAAGGCCCGAGGGGTCAGGGCGGGCAGCGAGGGCTGTGGGGTGCAGGGACACCCCACCCCTGGGGGGAGAGGAACAGTGTGCAGGGCTGCCCAGTGCTGCCCCCTCCTCCACAGCAGCACCCCAGTTCTCCCCAGCACTCCCAGCCCAGCCCAGCCCAGGCCCCACAGCCAGACGGGGCTGGGGCTGGGCAGGGAACCCCAGCACTGCTCATCCAGTGCCAGCCCCTCACCTGCTCCGACTGCAGCTCCAATGGCAGCTCTTTTGGCTCTTGTTTTCCATGCTAAGAAGTAAAATGGCAGGAGGGCAGTAAAGCTCATCCCAGGCAGAGCCCAGTGCCCTGTGCCAGGCAGGGCAGGGACCAGGAGCAGCAGCTCCCCCAGATCCCCTGCATTCAGCTGATCCCAGTCCCTGCAGATCCCACCATCCACTGCCACCCTGCCCTGCCCTGCCCTGCCTGATGCACCCCACAGACCCAGAACACACAGCCCGTGTCAGCCCAGTGTGTCCCCTGTCACCAGCACAAGGGGAATCAAACAGAGTTTAGGACAAACTCAGCCACCACCTTGCCAGCCCCTCGCTGTGCTCCAGCACATGCCCAGGTCTCAAGAGGGCAGCTGAGTCCCTGGGCATCCCTGGGGGGCTTCCCAGCACCTGCCAGGCTGCCTGGGAGAGACCCTGGGATCAGGCACCTGCCTGGATTTATTTGGGTTTGTTACCTGCACTATTGTTATCCCCATCTTTGCCACCTGGACCATTGTTATCTTTGCCACCTGGACCATTGTTATTCCCAGGATTTCCACCTGGACCGTTGTTATTCCCAGGTTTGCCACTTGGACTAATCTTCTTGGGTTCTCCATCTGTACTTGGCTCCTCCTCAGATTCCTCATCTGGAATCGTCTCCTCCTTGGGTTCCTCATCCAGAATTGGCTTCCTCTTGGACATGTTGTCACCGTTTGCTGCACCGAGTGTCGCAAGGGTAGATGTCAGGCCGATTTCGTCAGTAAGAGAGAAACCTGCTGTTCCAGCCCAGTGCTGCCCCTCCCTTACACCAACATTCCTGATCTCCCTGGCCCTGGCAGTCCCCGGCCGGGTCCCCCGTGACCAGACGGGGCTGGGTGTGGGCAGCGAATCCCATCGCCAGCCCCTCACCTGCTCTGGCTGCAGCTCCAGCGGCGGCTCCGTTGCCTCTGTGTCTCACGGCTAAGGAGGAAAAGGCAGGAGGGAGAAGGTGAACACGGCAAGGAAGAGGACGGGGAGGTGGAAGAGGACGGGAAGAAGTGCTGCCCTGCCCGCCGCACCCTGCAGGACCGGGTCGGGACCGCTGCCCGCCCCGGGCGTGTCCCGTCCCTCCCATATCCGGCACATCCCGGAGTGGGGCGGAGGGCTGCGCTGGAGAGTCTTAATTTGGGGGGTCAGATACAGCGAGGGGAGCACGGGGGAGAAGTGGGGTCCCAGTGGAGGGTCGCAGCAGGGGTGTTTGGGAAGACAAACACCACCACTCCAAACATCCCCTACCTCCTCCTTCCCCCCACCTCAACTTTATTTACTTAACTTGATGTCATTTGATCTGGAACAGCCCTTTGGTCACTTGTGGTCAGCTGATGCAGCTGTGTCTCCTCCCAGTTTCCCATCTCACTCAAAATCTTCCCTAGCATGGCAGTATGAGGAGCGTAAAAGAGCTGTCCAGCAGCAACAAAACATCTCCGTGTCATCAACCCTGTGCTTAGCACAAATGCCAAACACAGACCCAGATCAGCCACGGGAAAAAAATAACTCTACCCCAACCCAAACCTGGCCAACAGGACAGCCCTCACAGTTGTGAGGAATCCTGTTGCCCATGAGGAAAAGGGTTCAGCCTCAGCCCCCCAACCTGGCCCAAGCATGGGGCCCACACTGCCCCCATTGCCTGGGGGAGCACCCCAAGGAGGAGCAGACCCCAGAGCTCACCTCCCAGCTGCCATTGGACACCCCCACACCCAGGCCAAGGCAGGCAGTGGGGCCACACTGGGCACCCCAGGCCCTGGGCACACTGCTGGCACTGCCTGGGGAGGCCACAGCACTGAGGTGACCCCATGGGCACAAACCGACCGTGCCACGGCCACCAACCTCCCTGCAGACACCCTCCCAACCACGGGCCTGGGCCACACAACTCCATCCAGCAGCCACAGATCTGGCTGCGCTTCCTGCTCTGCTGAAGCCCAGAGGAGGCAGCAGGGTTAGTGGTACCGCAGGTGGGACAGCAGCAGTGACATCCTGCAGGCACTCGTGTGTCCCCAGGCTGCAAATCCCTCAGCCCCAGTAACACAGAAACACCATCTCTGCTGCAGGTAAAGCACCTTTATTGGCTTCAGGGCACTCACTGCTCAAGGTGGGGTCTGTGGGGGCTTCCCAGCACCTGCCACGCTGCCTGACAACAACTCAGGATCAGCATCTCTCTTGGGTTCCTCATCTGGAGCTGCTGCCTCCTTGCGTTTGTCACTTGCAGATTATTTTTGCCAGGGTAACAGCTACTGCCCCAAGTGACCCCAGGACAGTCGTCAGCCCAATTTTGGCAGCAAGAGAGAAGCCCGCAGCTCCTGTGAAGACAGATGGAGGAGTGATGTGCCAGCAGCGTGGAGGCTGCCTGCTGAGGGACCGGCCATTGGGAGCCGTTCTGAGCCGTGGCGGCTCCAAGGGCCGGTTTGGCCCCACAGCAAGCCCAGGGTATAAGCCCGTGTTCCTGAGGGCACGAGCCCAGTGCAGCCCAGTGCCCTGCCCTCCCCACTCACCGATGGACTGCAGCAGGGCCACGATGCTGCCGGCTGCCACTCCGCCGCCGTTGGCGATGGCAGCTGCCGACATCATCTTGGCAGCGATGGATCCAGCGGCAATGCCGCCTGCGGTGAACCCCAGCCCAGCAATGCACGCTGGGATGCCAACCAGTGCCACTCCTGCCAGGAGGACAGCACGGTGTGAGGGTGGTCTGTGTGACCCACACCTCCCCCTGCCACCAGCGCGGCCCCCACAAAGGCCCGAGGGGTCAGGGCGGGCAGGGAGGGCTGTGGGGTGCAGGGACACCCCACCCCTGGGGGGAGAGGAACAGTGTGCAGGGCTGCCCAGTGCTGCCCCCTCCTCCACAGCAGCACCCCAGTTCTCCCCAGCACTCCCAGCCCAGCCCAGCCCAGGCCCCACAGCCAGACGGGGCTGGGGCTGGGCAGGGAACCCCAGCACTGCTCATCCAGTGCCAGACCCTCACCTGCTCCGACTGCAGCTCCAATGGCAGCGGCTACTTCCCATGCTAAGAAGGAAAATGGCAGGAGGGCAGTAAAGCTCATCCCAGGCAGAGCCCAGTGCCCTGTGCCAGGCAGGGCAAGGGACCAGGAGCAGCAGCTCCCCCAGACCCCCTGCATTCAGCTGACCCCAGTCCCTGCAGATCCCACCATCCACTGCCACCCTGCCCTGCCCTGCCCTGCCTGATGCACCCCACAGACCCAGAACACACAGCCCGTGTCAGCCCAGTGTGTCCCCTGTCACCAGCACAAGGGGAATCAAACACAGTTTAGGACAAACTCAGCCACCACCTTGCCAGCCCCTCGCTGTGCTCCAGCACATGCCCAGGTCTCAAGAGGGCAGCTGAGTCCCTGGGCATCAGGGGGGGCTTCCCAGCACCTGCCAGGCTGCCTGGGAGAGACCCTGGGATCAGGCACCTGCCTGGATTTATCTGGGTTTGTTACCTGCACTATTGTTATCAGCTTTCCCCTGGTCCCACAGACCCCTGGGAACCGAGCACTGATGGCACCGGCCCCGCTGTCCCCTCACCCGGGAGGGGAGAAGGGACACACTCATGGTCCCCGTGTCCCCCACGCTGTCCCTCTGCAGGGGCTGTGCCCCCGACCCCACAAGCCACCCAACTCACCCATGGTGGGCTGTCCTGGAGCGAGAGCTGTGCCAGGTGTGCTCTGAGCCGGGTCCTTCGGGGAGCAAGAACAGGAGTTTCTTGGTGGGCCTCGAGCGGGGCCAGCGGGGCTTTGCTGTCCTGCACGAACGGCCCCAGACACCCCCCTCCCACCCAGGAGCCCCCAGCCACCCCACAAAAGCAGAGACCCCCAGACCCAGCATTTCTTCCCAGCCCAGGGGTCTCTGGCTGCTCTGCCAGTCCAGCGAGTTGAGCAGCCCCTCGTTTTCGTCCCCCCCCACACCCCCCGATTAGGGGTGCTGTCCCCAAACACCCACTGATAGACCCCGACCACCCTCGCCACCCACCTGTCCTGCACCTGCTGTGCCCTGAGGGGCAGAGTGCTGTCAGAAAGGTCCCACCAGGGGCTGTCAGCACAGCCAATTTACGAGGAAACCGCTCCCTGCCCTTTGGGAAACCGCTCCCTGCCCTTTGCTCTCCGTTTCCGCGTTAACTCTTGATGTTGCTGGTTGTGCTGGAGCGGGGCCGGGGCCCCCCTGTCCCAGGGGATCGGATCCTGGGGCTTCCCCCGCAGGGAACCCTCTCCCCTCCATCCCCTCTCGGTGACGGGCCGTGCGGGGTTGCGGTGGGGAGGCCGGGCCGGGGGTCTCCTCACCTTTGTGCCTTGGCAGCTGCGGCTTCACGGGGCGTTTCCCGAGCAGGTTTTGGCACCGGTGAAGCTGCGCGGTTTTGACGAGGACCCCGGGCAGTCTGAGCAGCGCTGGGACTTCCACCAGCTGGCAACGGAGCTGCAGCCCCTCAGCCTGCCTCCGCTCCACCGGGGCTCCACACAGCCTCAAAAAGCAGCCAAAGCCCCATTTTGCAACCCCCCCTCCTCTCTCCCTCCCTGCACCCACTCCTGACCCCGAGCCCCCTCAGGGCAGGGCAGCGGCAGCCCCCGGGCCGGGGCAGTGAAGGGCAGCGGGTGCCGTGGCTCATACGCCGCTGCAGCTGGTTGAAGGGGACCAAATCCAGTTGCAAGTTGATCTGGTTCCTTTTTACCAGCCCCAGGGACGCATCGTCTCTCCGGAGGCGCCGCCAGGACGGTGCTGGTGATGGGGAGTCCCGGTGCGGGGGTCCCAGCCCAAAAATACATACTTCTTAACATTCCATAACGCCGGCCGACTCCATATGGGCATATGAAGAAGTATGTAGGGTTGGGAGGGAGAGGAGGGCACTGTGGGGCTGGGGCTGCCCTCTGCTCCCAGCCGTGCCCACCAGCTCCACTGAGATCCTGGAAGGAGCAGGAAGGATCCAGGAAGCACCTCCTGCCCGCTCCCAGACCCGGCCTCGGTCCCTGCCCGGTGCAGCCCAGGCAGAGGCAGGGCCCCTCCAGCCCTGCTGTGCCCACAGCCACCCTCAGCCCTGGGGCACAGAGATCCCCGTTCAGAGAGCAAGGCCAACGCGTGTGCCTCGGACCCAGAGCTGCTTCTGGCCAGAGGATGCTCAGGATGCTGCTCTGGGGGGTAGCTGCCCTTTGAGGGTGGTGAGATGCTCTAGGATGATGCAGAGTTTGGGGCAGTGGGGGCAGCAGGGGGGCTGCACCCCCGAGGAGATGTGGGCACAGCCAAGGGCCGTGGCCAGTGAGCCCACACAGGCCAGCAGGCGTGACAAAGCTGGGCACCTGTACCTGGAGTTAATGCCACTGCAGGGATCCCCCATCGCCCCTGGCTCTTGGCTTCGCAGGGATCGCCCCTGCTGCTCCTGCTGCTGCTGCTGAGCTGGGTCAGGAGCCACCAGCTCACCTTCCCCATCACCTCACACCATCCCAGCACCCCCAGGGCCTCCTGCACCCCACATCCCCCTGTCCACGTGCCAGAGCAGCGGCTGCAGCTCAGTGCAGCTGGGGCCAGTGTCGGGGGAGACCCACCTCCCACAAACCCACCCCCTGCCCACCTCGTTTGCAGGCCCAGGAGAGGACCTGGGGGTCCGGGCCCTCCCCACCCCTCAGCTCTGGGCCGGGGAGGCTGGAGATGCCTTTGCCCACAGGAGGAGGGGGGTTCCAGCTGAGAGGTCAAGGGTTTGAGACCGTAATGGGGCTGCAGGGGGGGCTCCCTGCCCCCAGCACAGCGTGGCCAGGGCAGGGCGACAGAGGGACAAGTGTCACCATGGCCCAGACGCACCTTGACCCCAGTGACCTTCCTTCCTTCGGATAAATTTGCAGCTGGAGAAGGGCAGGGGCAGGTACAGGCAGTGTCCTGGGGTTCCTGGGGCTGCCCCCTCCCAGGACAGGGGAGCAAGGGGTGCCTGAGGGGCCCAGCCCCGAGCAGGAGGGATGTGGGGCTGGCCGAGCGTGGTGTGGCCGTGACTCAGCGCCGGGAGCTGTGGCCACACGCGCCGCAGCTCCTGCAAGGAGCCGGTGGGTGCCAAGTGCAGCCTCGCAGCACCAGCCCCACTCGCATCACCCACAGGCAGCAGAGATGCTGCTCAGTCACCCTCTGAGCCACCAGTTATTGCCACAGGGCACAGGGTGGCTGCTAGCACAGCCCTTGGCCCCCCCAGGATGCTCTGCCAGCACCCCAGGACCTTCTGCATGGCCGGTCCCCAGGGATCCAGCCCTGGGCATCCCAGACACGGCTCCCAGGACTCAAGATGAGTCCCCAGCCCAGCAGCAGTGGTGGAGCTGAATGTGTCTTGCTAGACCAGCATCCCTATCCCCCCTCAAAAGCAAACTGAGTGGGTATCCTGAGGCCAGAGGCTGCAGAGGTGCACCCCCTTAACCCTTGGGGCTCTGCTGGCCCTGCAGTGCAGTGGGATGCTGCCATGAGGTTTTCCTGGGGGGTTACCAGGTTCCAGGGACTGGCTGGGCTGCTGAGGTGCACTGGGAGGCAAAATCCAATGGCTGCACCAAGCCCAAATTCTGAGAGCCAGGGCACAGGGTCAGGGCTCCCACATCCCAGCCCAGTTCAGCTCCAGTCACCTCGGCTGACCTTGGCAGCCTCCCAGGACTTGGTACCAGAGGTACCCCATCCTGAGGGCCCACACAGCCCCATCCCATGGCATGGTTCCTGCAGCCCTCGGCCAGGCTCCCCCAGTGACCTTGGAGGGCTGCACCCAGCTCTGCTGGTGCTCTCTGCATCCAGGGCTCCCCATCTCCCCCAGCTCCTCCTTGCCCCTGCCCTGTCCCACAGCCCGGCTCTGCTCCACTGCCCTCTCTGTGGCCAGACATTCCCAGTCACACCACCAGTCCCTCTGCAGCCCTGGGGGTGCCCCAGCACTGCAGGCAGCCCCGAGTCCTCCCCAGCCCCAGCGCTGCCCTTGGTGGCTGCAGACACGTCCCCAAGCCAAAACCCACCAGAAAGCAGCCCCTCTCCAACGTCTTCTCTGGGCCCTCGCGGCAGCCCCTGACCTGGGCAGCCCCCGTGTTCTCCACCTGCCCCGAGAGCAGTTCCTGTCCTGGGCAGGCTGGTTTCTGGGCACCGGGCTCGGATGGCCTTGCAGGAGGAGGCAGAGGAGCCGGGGGGCTGCCGGGGCCTGCCGTGGTGGCACCCACGCGCCTGCAGGCACCCAACAACCCCAGCCTGGCTATAAAAGGAAGAGTCTTTTTTTCCCCGCTCCGCCGGCGCCGCATGTCCGGCCGCGCTCTGCAGCCGCTGCCTCGCAGGGGCCCTTCCAAGTTTTCCCCTTCAGCACTGCCCCCCCAGCCGGCTCCCCCCTCTCATCCATCCCCGGCAAACCCACTGCAGTAGCTGCTCCAGCTGCCGAGGGGCTTAAAAAATACCAAGAGGCCCAGCGAGGAGGAGGGCGGTGGGTGAGAGGGGAGCTGTGGCACAGGGTGCCTGCGGGAGCCCCCCGGCTCCCGTCCTGCCTCCCCCTCGCCTGCGGCACTGCCCGCGTCGGGGCTGCGGGTGCGGGGCCCTGGTGCAGCCGCCCGTGCTGGCCCGCACTGCCCCCCGTGCGTGGCCAAACTGCCATGCCGAGGTGCCCAGGAGTTGGGTTTCCCTTCCCGCCCCATCCCACCGGCGTGGGGTGTCCCCGCGCTGCGTGGCCGAGGGCACCCTGGCTCCCTGGGGAGGGGGTGACCGGCCCCGCTGCGGGGGGACACAGACGGACCGAGTGCTGCCCACCACCCGGGACCCCCCTGCAGCCGGGACCTGCCGGGGGTGCCCCATTGCCCCCCCCAAACGCACAGGGAGTTGCTGCTGCTCCCACTCCTCCACCTCCACCCGGGCTGTCCCCAGGCAGAGGGGGCTGCGGGGACCCCCACCCCGGGGTGTCCCCTCCCTGCCCACCCCGAGCCGCTGCCGGAGCCGAGCAGCAGCAGCAGCAGCAGCAGCAGCCCCGGCCGGGCTCGCTGAAGGTTAAACGTGGGCGGCGGGGAAAGTCCCGCTGCCCCTCGCAGACCCCGCACCTCCCGCCCGCAAGGCCACTCACGGTCCTGGAGGTGACACCGGCCGCTGCAGGCTGGGCTGGCGGCAGCGGGCTGCGGTGA